GGTAGTTTTCTGTAGTGATAAGATTATTTATTCCTTTCTCTTTCTCCTTTGTCTGTTGGCTTTCCTGGTGAATTTTATAATTTCGCATATTTTCATGAGGGCAGTTATCATCTTTTTACTTCCAGGTGTAAGACTCCCTTGAATGTTTCTCCTGGACTGGACTAGTGGTGATGAATTCTCTTATTTTTTGCTTGTCCAGGAAAGATTTTATTTCTCCTTCATTTTTGAAGAATAGCTTTCCTGGGTATAATATTCTTGGCTAGCTGGGGTTTTTTTCCTTCTATACTTTGACTATATTATCCCTTTCTCTCCTGACCTGTGAGGTTTCTGCTGAGAAATCTGCTGCTAGTCTAATGGAGATTCCCTTATATGTGACTTGATGCTTTTCTTTTGAAAAGGAATTCTCTTTTAGAATTATTTCTTTGTCTTTGCCTTTTGATGATTTGACAGCTGGGTGTGGTGGCTCATGCCTGTATTCCCAGCACTTTGGGAGGCCAAGGCAGGTGGATCACCTAAAGTTAAGAGTTTGAGACCAGCCTGACCAACATGGTGAAACCCTGTCTCTACTAAAAATACAAAAATTAGCTGGGCATGATGGTGGGTGTGTGTAATCCAAGCTACTCTGGAGGCTGAGGCAGGAGAATTGCTTGAACCCGGGAGACAGAGGTTGCAGTGAGCCGAAAATTACACCATTGCACTCTAGCCTGGGCTACAAGAATGAAACTCCATCTCAAAAAAAAAAAAATTATTTTTTGACTATAATGTGCCTTAGAGAAGACTTGTTTGGGTTGAATTTATTTGGGAACTTTCCAGCTTCCTGAATCTGAATATCCATGTCTCTCCCAAGACCTAGGAAGTTTTCAGCTATTATGTCATTAAATATATTCTCTACACCATCTCTCTTTTCTTCTCCTTCTGCAATGCCCATAACGCAATTATTTGTTTGCTTAATGGTGTTCCATAAATCCTATATGCTTTTTTCATTCTTTTTTCTTTTCTTTCTTTTTTTTTTCTGCCTGAATTTTTTCAAAAGATTTGTCTTCAAGTTCAAAAATTTTTTCTTCTGTTTGGTCTAGTCTGCTGTTGAAGCTCTTTATTGTATTTTTTATTTCATTCATTGAATTCTTCAGCTCTAAGATTCCTATTTGGTTGTTTTTTTTTATGATATCTCTTTGTTGAATTTATCTGATTTTTGTTAACTGTTCTATATGTATTATCTTGTATCTCATTGCGTTTCCTTAAGATGATTATTTTGAGCCACATGTGATGGCTCATGCCTATAGTCCTGGCTCCTTGGGAGGCTGTAGCAGGAGGATTACCTGAGTCCAAGAGTTCTGGCCTGTAGTGTACTATGCTAATCTGGTGTCTACACTAAGTTTGGCATCAATATGGTGACCTTCTGGAAGCAGAGAACCATCAGGTTGCTTAGGGAGGGATGAACCAGCTCAGGTCAGAAATAGAGCCGGTCAGCCAGGTGTGGTGGCTCACACCTATAATTTCAGCAGTTTGGGAGGCTGAGATGGATGAATTGCTGGAGCTTGGGAGTTCGAGACCAGCCTGGGCAACATGGTGAAACCTCATCTCTATAAAAAATATGAAAATTAAGCTGGTGGTTCATGCCTGTAGTTCCAGCTACTTGGGGGGCTGAGGTGGGAGGATTGCTTAAGCCCAGGAGGTGGATGTTGCAGGGAGCCGAGATTGTACCACTGCACTCCAGCCTGGGCAACAGAGTGAGACTCTCTTAAAAAAAAAAAAAAAGAAAGAAAGATAAATGGAGCAGATCAAAACACCTATGCCAATTAATAGTAGGATCATGCCTGTGAATAGCCACTGCACTCCAGCCTATGCAACATTGTGAGACCTTCATCTCAAATTTTTAAGAAAAGATTATTATTTTGAATTCTTTTTCTGGCATTTTACATATTCCTTATGATTGGAGTTTGTTCCTGGAAAATTATTGTGTGCATTTGGAGGAGTCATGTTTCCTCAGTTTTTCACATTTGATGTGTCCCTATGTTGATTTCTACACATCTGGTGGAACAGTCACCTCTTCCAATGTTATGGAGTAGCTTTCATAGGGAAAGATTTAGTCATGTGGATGGGTCTTGAGGTGTCATTTGGATGGCTGCAGTGGCTATGGTTCTAGGTGGACACAGTGGTGTAGTTTCTTTTGCTGTAATCTGCACTAGCGATGTTTGTGAGTGTCCCAATGGCCTAGGCTGTTAGAGTTTATGGCAGCAGTCATGTAGCTTTACTGGGGTTGGGACCATTGGACTATTTCTTAGGTCAGGGACATGTGTATGTACATCATGGGTTGACCAGCTTGGGGTCTAGCTTGCTGAGGCTGTGGCCATGGACTGTTACTCTGGCTGGGGGCACATGTGCATGGCTGCCCAGCTTGGAGGTATGACAACCTGGGGTGGGACCTCCAGGCTGTTCCTCTTCTGGGTGCAGGCACACAGTTTCTTGGCCAGCATGGGGTCATATCCACTGGAAGAAGACCTGCCAGCCTGTTTCTCAGGCCCTGGGCATGGGCAGGCCTAGGGTCATGTCCTCCAGGAATGGGCCTGTAAGGCTGTTTATCAGGTTTTGGGCATGCGAATGTTACTGCTTGGGGGTGTGCCTTCTGGTGGTGGCTCACAGAGCTGCTTCTCAGGCCCAGGACACAGGCACATGGCTGCTTGGATGGCCTAGGGGGATATCTGCCAAGGGTAGCCTGTGGGGCTGGAGTACTAGTTTTTTGGGGTTTTTTTGTATGTTTGTTTGTTCGTTTGTTTTGAGACAGAGTCTCGCACTGTCGCCTGGGCTGGAGTGCAGTGGCATGATCTCAGCTCACTGCAACCTCCACCTCCCAGGTTCAAATGATTCTTCTGCCTCAGCCTCCCTAGTAGCTGAGATTACAGGTTCCCACCACCACACCCAGCTAATTTTTTTTTTTTTAATTTTTAGTAGAGACACGGTTTCACCCTGTTGACCAGGCTGGTCTCAAATTCCTGACTTTGTGACCCGCCCACCTCAGCCTCCCAAAGTGCTGGGATTACAGATGTGAGCCACCACCCCTGGCCTGGAGTGCTAGTTTCTTAATGACAGCTCCTTAACTATTGTTCCACTTGACTGAAAACCTGTGAACTAAAGAGGCAATTTATCTACTCCCTTTCCCACTATAACCCAATATACAATGGTGTGGCATAGGATAATCTTCTCGTTCCCAGAGGGGGAAGCCAGGAGGCACATAGAGATCACTGATCTAGAGCAATTCTCTTTTTATGTTTTCTTCCTATATGATTGTCTTAGTCTGCTTTGAATTACTATAAAGGAATACCTGAAGCTGGGTAAATTATAATGAAAAGAGGTTTATTTGGCTCACAGTTCTGCGGCTGCACAAGAAGCACGGCACCAGCATCTGCTTCTGGTGAGGGCTTAAGAAGCTTCCGCTCATTGCAGACGGCAAAAGGGAGCCCTCATGTGGAGATCACATGTTGGGAAATGAGAGAGAGAGGGTAGGAGGTGCCCAGCTCTTTTTAATTTAATAATCAGATCTCACAGGAACTGATGGCACAAAAATTAACTCATTACCACAAGGACTACACCAAGACATTCATGAGGGATCTGCTTCCATGACCCAAACCAGGCCCCACCTTGAACATTGGGGATCAGATTTTAACATGAAATTTGAAATATCGAAACTGTATCAGTGGTCTTTTCTATTGCTGTAGCTTTAAATATCATTCATACATTTGCAAGTTCCAAATTTCCTAACATCTCAAATGCCAGACTAGAATATCCAGTTAACCATTTGACACCTTGACTAGGACATCTCAGATATTTCCATAGTTTTTTTTTTTTTTTCTTTTTTTTTTTTTGAGACAGAGTTTTCACTCTTGTTGCCCAGGCTGGAGTGCAATGGCACGATCTCGGCTCACTGCAACCTCCACATCTCAGGTTCCAGTGATTCTCCTGCCTCAGCCTCCTGAGTAGTTGGGACTACTGAGGAGGATGGATCACCTGAGGTCAGGAGTTCGAGATCAGCCTAGCCAACATAGTAAAACCCCATCTCTACTAAAAATACAAAAATTAGCCAGGCATGGTGATGCACGCCTGTAGTCCCAACTACTTGGGAGGCTAAACTTGGGAAGCAGAGACTGCAGTGAGCCAAGATTGCACCACTGCACTCCAGTCTGGGCAACAGGGCAAGACTCTGTCTCAAAAAAAAAAAAAAAAAAAAAAAAAAGGTTCTGTATAAATTGTATTCCCTCTGCCTGGAGTATTCTCTCCTAACTTCCCAATCCCACGTAACTGAGTCTTTTTCATCCTTTAAGGTGTTGCTTTCCTGACCATTCCATCTAAGTACATACCCCTCTTTATTATTCTCTATCATTGTATCCTGTTTGTTTCCTCTATAAAACTTATCCTGGGCTGGGTGCAGTGGCTCATGCCAGTAATCCTAGCACTTTGGGAGGCCAAGGTGGACAGATCACCTGAGGTTGGGAGTTCAAGACCAGCCTGACCAACATGGAGAAACCCTATCTCTACTAAAAATACAAAAATTAGCTGGGCGTGGTGACACATGCCTGTAGTCCCAGCTACTCGGGAGGCTGAAGCAGGACAATTGCTTGAACCCAGGAGGCGGAGGTTGCAGTGAGCCGAGATCACGCCATAGCCCTGGGCGACAGAGCAAAACTCCGTCTGGAGACAGAGCAAAACTCCATCTAAAAAACAAACAACAAACAAAAAAAACCAAAAAAACCATATCCCACTTTTAAGTTATATCCTATTAGTTTGTCATCTGCCTGTAGCTCCTATAGGTAAGGAGCCATGTCTGTGTTATGTATCGATATATACCCAGTGCCCAGAGTGCCTACTCAATAAATATTTATTGAATATTGTTTAAAGGTATAATTTTGTTTTGAGACAATGTTCTAATTAATATGTAATTATTAGTAATGTTAAATGTATTACCTCCTAATTCTTTTACTGAAAATAGCCTTTTTTTCTTTCAGTAATTGCCCTTCCTTTTTGGCTGCTGCTTTAGCCAGAGCCACATCAGATGAAGTCCTTCAGAGTGATCTTTCTGCACATTATATCCCAAAGGAAATGGATGGCACAGAAGGGACTGTGGGTGAGTACCTTTCTACATTATTTGTTTAAAAATATTAGAATCTTCTATGTGTAGTGGTCCACAGAAAATATCTGCAAAATACTAAATCTAATTACATTTACCTGCTGGTTGTTTATATAGTGGTAGCAGGAGAAAAAAAAATGCAACTTTTTTCAAATAAATCAATAAAAGGAGGGGAGAAGAGAAAAATACAAGTGTATTTTGAAAAAGGTAGAGTAGTATTTAGAAGATAACTGGAGCAACAGGAGATTGTCATAAGTAATACCTACATGAATGGAAAGATTAAAGTGAAGAATGTGAAGATATAACAAAAAAGATGAGTGGGTGAGGGAGAATTTGAGCAAAACCTGAGAAATGTTTAGCTTACCTTTAAAAATCCAAGTTAGGCCAGGTGCAGTGGCTCATGCCTGTAATCCCAGCGTGAGAGGCCGAGGCGAGCAGATCCCCTAAGGTCAGGAGTTTGAGACCAGTCTGGCCAACGTGGTGAAACCCCATCTCTACTAAAAAGAATACAAAAATTAGCCAGCGTGGTGGCGCACACATGTGGTCTCAGCTATTCGAGAGGCTGAGGCAAGTGAATTGGTTGAACGTAGGAGGCAGAGGTTGCAGTGAGCTGAGATCGTGCCGCTGCACTCTAGCCTGGGAGAAAGAGAAAAAAAAAACAAAACACCTTCACTGTGTATCAAGTTAAAAGATACAAAAATCCAAGAAATCAGTTGTAACACAACTTCTCACTAATTATATTAAATTTTATATCTACCAATAAACAGAACTCTTTATGACAGATATGCAAATGTGATTTAATTGCATAGATCATTGTACCTTTTTTTCCAGATAAATTATGAGGCTCTATTTCTTAATGAAGTCATGTTTATTAATGTCTTAGGCTTATACATATTTGACAGGATCAAAGAAAATATTTTTATAAAAATTAGAGAATTACTACTCAAAATTGTTAAGAAAGTTTAATATTTCAGATTTGTTCTATTTAAAGCATTTGCCTTTAAACATGGTATATATGGAGCAAAGCATATATTAATGAATCTGAGTAGCTGGATTCCAGAGAATGTGAGGCAGATATAAAAGTAAACATTTCTGTTCTTCCTTTATCTCTGTAGATTGTGACAGAATATTGGCAAGGAAGGAATCACTCTTCTTGTTTTTACTGACAGTAACTGATTCACCTAGAACCAAATTGTTCCAGAGTCAAGTTGGATAGAATTTTTGCTATAAAGCATTGGTCTTTCCTCTGCTACTGATGCATAGAATAAAAGCCTTATGATGAAAAGATAGATTAAATTCTGCTTCACTCCAGCCAGGGTAACAGCTGATTCAGCTCCAGCTCAGAACAATGACATTAATGACTGATGAGTAATTTACAGCTGTGAGGGGGTGGACTGCTACTTCGGACAATTTTCACTTTTTCGCATCCCTTTTTTTACTTTATTTTTCCATTTCAAGCAGCAATTATTTATATACTGATGTCTTACACTACTCCCTGCAGAAGGAGAATACTTAATCTAGAAAGATTGGAGTGTTGTCCTACATGCCCACTTTGGAAGAATTGTTTGATCCCTGTAAGATAGAAAAAGTGAAATGAAGCGTTTTCTTTTGGTGGACATAATTGGTTATTCTGATTTTTTATTTTTCCAAGAGATTACCTAGTAATGTCTCCATGCGACTGCTGTGATTCAGACTGATCTACTATTATTCTAAACTATTTGGAAATCCTGTATTTATTTAGCCCCAATCACTCAGGGTGAACTGCACCACAGAGAATCTCTATGGGGCATATTGTGTTTATCCAAACATCAGAGAAGGAAATGAGCATACTGAATAAGGCCTGCTGTCACTGGCTTAAAGTCCTCACTGAAGTGCCTTTTGTCTCTCCTCTTGGTTGTTTCCAAAAACAGACTTAAAAAAAAATCCTTAAAGTTCTTTTCATGTTTTCATTATCCCTAACAGAATGTTTGCTAAGTGACCTTGGATATGTCACTTGGTACACATTTAGTTTGGTAGATACACCTTTTGTCCAGACAACCTAAAACCAATTTGAGGGCCAGGTATGGTGGCTCATGCCTGTAATGCCAGTGATTTGGGAGGCCAAGGCAAGAGGATCACTTGAGACCAGGAGTTTGAGACCAGCCTGGGCACTATAGTGAGGCACTATTTCTACAAAAAATTTAAAAATTAGCTGGGCATGGTGGCATGTACCCATAATCCCAGCCACTTGGGAGGCTGAGGTAGGAGAATCACTTGAGCCCAGGAATTCAAGGTTACAGTGAGCTATGTACTACAGCCCAGTCAACAGAGCGAGACCCTGTCTCAAACAATGACAACAAGAACCCAAAAACCAATTTGAAATATCACAGTGTAAAAATTATTATATTTATTTATTTATTTATATATTTATTTATTTATTTATTTATTTTTTGAGAGAGAGAGAGGGTCTCCCTCTGTTACCCAGGCTGGAGGGCCATGGTATGATCACGGCTCGCTGAAGCCTCTACCTCCCAGGCTCAAGTGATCCTCGCACCTCAGCCTCATGAGTAGCTGGGACTACAGGCATGCACCACCATGCTCAGCTAATGTTTGTATTTTTTGTAGAGACAGGGTCTCGCCATGTTGCCCAGGCTGGTCTTGAACTCCTGGGCTCAAGTGATCCTCCTGTCTTGGCCTCCTAAAGTGCTGGGTTTACAGTGGTGAGCCACTAAGCCCAGCCCACTATAAAAATTAAAAACAAGAAGGGAAAATGATCACTAATACAGAGGAAATTAAAGAATAATAAAAAGTTTTTGTAAATAAATTTGAAAACCTGGATGTTTTCTAGAAAAAAAAAAAATTAACAAAGTTTACCTAAGAAGAAAGAGATTGAGAAAGTTATCAAGGAATAATCCCCACAAAAGGCCATGGAGTAGGTGACTCTACAAGTAAGGTGAACATTTTCAAATGATCAAAGGCGAATAATTCCAATGGTTTTTATTTTTTTATTGTATAGTTATTTATTATTTTTTGAGACAGAGTCTTGCTCTTCCTTCAAGAATCTTCCTCCCAAAGTGCTGGGATTACAGGCATGAGCCACTGTGCCCAGTCCCAATCCTTTTTAAAATGAATGCTCCAATAGCACAGGAAAAGAAGGAAAATTTGCATAATATAACACTGATACCAGAACCCACCCAAGACTAAAAAAGGAAATGAGAGACCAGTCTTAGTTGTCAACATAAAAAAATCTTAAGTAGGCTGGGTGTGGTGGCTATGCCTGTAATCCCAGCACTTTGGGAGGCCACGGCAGGTGGATCACCTGAGGTCAGGAGTTTGAGACCAGACTGGCCAACATAGTGAAACCCCTTCTCTACTAAAAATACAAAAATTAGACAGGAGTGGTGGAGTGCACCTGTAGTCCCAGCTACTTGGGAGGCTGAAGCAGGAGAATTGCTTGAACCTAGAAGGTGGAGGTTGCGGTGAGCCGAGATTGTGCCATTGTACTCCAGCCTGGGCAACGAGAGTGAGACTCCATCTCAAAAAAAAAAAAAAAAAGAAAAAAAAAGGCTGAGTGTGGTGGCTCACACCTGTAATCCCAGCACTTTGGGAGGCCAATGTGGGCGGATCACAAGATCAGGAGATCGAGACCATCCTGGCTAACATGGTGAAACCCCCTCTCTACTAAAAATACAAAAATTAGCCAGGCGTGGTGGCCGACGCCTGTAGTCCCAGCTACTTGAGAGGCTGAGGCGGGAGAATGGCGTGAACCCGGGAGGTGGGGCTTGCAGCGAGCTGAGATCGAGCCACTGCACTCCAGCCTGGGTGACAGAGCGAGACTCTGTCTCAAAAAATAAAAATAAAAAAAAAGGCCTTGACCTCCCAAAGTGCTAGGATTACAGGCATGAGCCACTGCGCCCAGCCTAAAAAAAAAAAAAAAAAACTTAAGTAAAATATTTGTATATTGAGTACAGCAGTTAATTCATTCACTGAATATTTTATTGAGGGTCTACTATATATGTTACTATATATGTATAATACTGGGGAAACAACAGTGAGCAAAACTTCAAGAACAAAATATTGGGAAGTCTATAGCACAACTTGTATATTAATAGGGGAAAATAAAAATAAGCAGTAATCTCTAAAGATGCCAAAAGAAACATTTGATAAAATTTAATATCATTCCATGGCCGGGCGCGGTGGCTCAAGCCTGTAATCCCAGCACTTTGGGAGGCCGAGACGGGCGGATCACGAGGTCAGGAGATCGAGACCATCCTGGCTAACACGGTGAAACCCCGTCTCTACTAAAAAGTACAAAAAACTAGCCGGGCGAGGTGGCGGGCGCCTGTAGTCCCAGCTACTCCGGAGGCTGAGGCAGGAGAATGGCGTAAACCCGGGAGGAGGAGCTTGCGGTGAGCAGAGATCCGGCCACTGCACTCCAGCCTGGGTGACAGAGCCAGACTCCGTCTCAAAAAAAAAAAAAAAAAAAAAAAAAATTTAATATCATTCCTAATTTTTAAAATATTCTTTATAAAGTAGGCCTAGATGGATATATCTTGGATGTCACGTTTATGTTTAATGTGTATTCTGGAATTTGTCAGTTGTACATGATTACAAACACAGCTTCAGTTGTCTTCAGCAAAACAGAATGTATTGACTACCTTCCAGGATAAGGGATACACAGGCAGATTCAAGGCTTCAAATGATCTCAACAGAACCTGGCATTTCTCCAACTCTCAGCTGTACTTTCTTTCATTTTGATTTTGTCTTCAGGTTCCATGAGGTGGCAGTATGACTTGCTGGGAATCCAGGTCTTCATCTGTCCAAACTCAAGTTGAGCAGGAAAACAAGAGTAGATTTTCTCAGTTGTTCTTACAGAAGCCACAGGATTTACTCTAATTGGTCCAACTTGGATGGTTTCCCATTCCTGAACTAATCACTGTGGCCAAAGGATGGGATTCTCTAACTGGCTAAACCCGAATCACAGGGTTTCAGAGTAAAGAAAGAAGGAAATGTTATTG